CTTGCTTCCATAGCCCGCCTAACCATGTTTCCTATGAGCGCCCTGTCATCGAGAATGAGGTGCAAGTTCTATCTCGGACTTTGAAACACGGTGTAGAGACTTTCCTACTATCGTCGTGTACATGTCCTTATTCTCGTTATACTCAATAGTGACTTCTTGTTCTAGGTTGCCCTAACTCATACTTTCCGCTACGTCGAAGGCCTAAATTCGCGCAGTACATATGTACCTGTCTCAAGGGAGTAGGAAAGTGAGATATGATTGTTAAAGACGACGAATAGAGGATGACGTGAAGACCGTCCTAGTTTATGTAGACCACGAACTCTCCCAAGAAACCATTTAATAGCACTTGTAGTTGATGCAGTATGACTGTAATGCAAACAACATTCGAACTCGTCCATGCGTATCAGGTGGTATCTGGCTCAGGAATCGCGCAACGCCAGTGCAGTGCATGATCTGGATGGATTTGAGCTGGTTAACAACCCTATGCAACTCAGTAAAACATTGTAAATGGAAACCAATAAGGCGAAGAGTCCTAAATGTCTCAAAATCTTTTAGAGAGACAGTGCGGTTACCAAACGACATTGTTATCTATTACCGCTATATCATACCTCTATAATTATAAATACTACTATACACTAATCTTATATAACCCTAAGATTATATCTATACTCTTTTTATTACTTTAAATTATCTATAATATCTCCAAAATTATAGAAAAAGAGTAAAGAGAGTAGATTATAGAGAGAGATTCTTAGGTCTAGCTATCTATATACTCCTATATTTAACGGCGCTCTAGAAGGATATAGAGAGAATATTAAAGATCTATAGTACTATATATTAGTTATACTAGCTTTCTTCTATTATATATTGTCAGGACTCAACATTAGGCGAGGGCCAGATCCGCACGCATCTCAGCTGACTGGGTCAGGAGATGAATGGCGTCATAGGCGGTGAACGGTCACGTGCCGGGCAGATCGGCACCCCTTTGTGTATATACCGAGAGGGTTCGGCAGTAATTCATTCTGTGACAGAATACACCTCATTGTTTCATCTGGCTACACTACTATCCATTTACCCTATTCTTACATGTATTATAGTTTTATATATTATGGAGGGATAATACGGCGGTAAATTTCAGACTTCCTATCAGTCAGTTCAACTTCAATTCGACCGCCTCAAGAACTGGTCAGTCCAGTTCAGTTGAGGCCTCTTGCCAAGAACTGACGCTTCAGTTCAACTTCAATTTAAGATAGTATTGAACTGTAAATGATTGAACTGAACTGAAGTATATATATATACTTAGTAGGCTGCAGAGTCTTACGAAACGCGTCCACGTCGTTGCAGCTGGGCAATGCTCTCATCCTGATGAGAGTAGCAAGAGTTTCGGAGCGGCATTGATGGCGACGTTGTCGTCGCTGGGTGGGTGGTTGCAGAGTTCTCGCGACGCGTCAGCTCAGCAGTAGACCACACCACAACAACCAGCTGGGACAGCATATACTTCCATCCTGTTCTTAATCAACGCGTCAAGAGAAGTTTACGAGGATACTGGGATAAGAAAGCCACCCGACGCGCTGCTGCTGTGTCGAAAGCAGGCCAGAACCTATCTAGCCATCTGGGTAGGGAAATCGGAAGTCCTAGCAGCGCGACAGGACACCTCGAGGCTTGAACGGCTCTGAGAACGTGAGGATCAGCGAGAAATCACGTCGAGGGCAACTAGAAGCTACTACTAGATGAACTTGTTAAGGCTAACTCTCCTGCAGTGTTAAACTACGTTTGTTAAGCCGCCTAGCAAGACCACCAGCAGCACGACTCTGTTAAGACCTTTCGCTCGATACGAGATACCACTTATACCGTAGATAGGTAGAGTGGCTCCCGCGCACGAGAGATGTCACAGTCTACCGTGGGAGGCAGGATACTAGTGCACACAGACAATGGTACACGGATACAGGCAAGAGGCGGCTACAGGGACCCATTAAGAGTAGTGGAAACAAGTCGGGTTAGTAGGTAGAGTATACCTGAGTCGCCTAGGCGCGTCACGCGAGTGTACACGTATGGGATTCAGAGGATACTCGCCTGCAAGACACGGTCGGCCTATCATGGAGAGATCCTTAGGGGCAACGCGAAACCGAATAGCAGCCATGCTTGAAGGCGGGGCGTGGTATATAGTAGTGACTGCTGGCTCCAAGGACCTCACCCCTTCAATGGGCTCTGACCTTTGGTGTACCTAGAAGTAGGCAGGATCACGTCCTGGCCGGGGAGAGTACTATATGGCCCGAGAGAACGGACAGAGTAATAAACCACGGCTGGCGCGCCATGGCCCACCGCGACGACTGAGTGATTGTATGATGCGACAACTACTTGAGAGACTGCTTCGCGTGGGCTTGATGAGATGGCTAGATGGGTATATGAAGAGTTTAACCTCACTGTATCCAAACAGCTTCTATCGAAGGAGTTGTCTGAGCGAGGTTGGGATCGTAAGCTATTGAAACGTATTAGTAGTGCGCGCTTAGAGACAGCACGCGCTTCATACCTTGAGGACATCGCGGAGCTGCCAGCAGACCCTTACGTGTTCTTAGATGAGGTTATATTTAATGAGAAAATCGGATGGAGACGTCGAGGTAGAGCGCCGAAGGGATAGACTCCGACTGAGTTTGGTACACTCGATCGAGGACCAACGTATAGTGCCTGTGGTGCTATTATAGTTGATGGATCTGTCTGCTATTAGATAAAGGAAGGTTACTTCTCAGCGGAAGAGTTCTATACCTGGCTAGAGGTATACTTACTACCTGCCCTTGAGGTAAAGTACCCTGGGCGTGCGATGACAATCATTATGGATAACCTCGCCCTCCATACGAACCAACGAATCGAGCCACTCATACTCGGTGCTGGCCATATTGTACGATATACACCGCCGTACTCTCCCGACTTTAACCCTATTGAGCTTGTATGGGCGGTAATAAAGGCGTGGATCCGTAGGTGGGACACCTGGACACGTCAGCAATCTCGAACTTTTGAGGACTTCCTCAACGTCGCCTTCACCCATAGCCACGCCGATCAGTGGGCTCTACGCTTCTTCAAGCACGCCGCAGATGGGTATTATATTGATGAGACGCTCCGACGGAGAGTCGTAGTAGATTTGGATGAGTTTGGGCAAGGTAGAGGTGGTAGAGAGGTTACTGAAGTTGAGGAGATTGGGAGACTTTTCTACGAACTCATTATGTGAATCACTCATCGGCGAGTCGGCGATAATAAGTCGCTTAGATAGCCAGTGATACAATATATATATATGTCCGTTTTAGGTAATATTCGTTGACTATATGGCTTCAGTATATGAATATATACATCTGTATACACGTAAAGAGACACCACACCACCTCCACCTACGTACTACCAGTACTATTTGTAGCGAATGCTTGAAGCGAGGACGCTGCCTCACTTACTTTAAGCTGCTCCTTGTACTTGCGAAGATATAGGCGTGCGTCTAGTAAAATACTAAGTGGATCACCTGCTGTCTTCGTGATAAGCAGTTCCAGGCCGAGTCATCTCCTCAATATGGCGGTAAGTACAACAGTTATCGTCTGCGTATAGCCTCAGTTCGCGTATCCCTGCTCTTGTCTTGTCGTGACTCTCAATCTCCTCACGCCATTCGAGGGCTGACAGTACCACATCTGCCTGATGTCGTCCTGGTTGTGCTGGGCTACTAGAGGGATCCACGACTCGAGACTGAGGGGGCGTTTTACGGCGAATCTCACGTGTTGGCGAGTGATTCGAACTATGAGCAGAGATAGGACGTGGCTGAGGTTAAGGAAATATAGGTGCTTGTATTGGGAGACTAGGATTAAAGCCGTGGCGCTGTAACTCCATCTGACGGAGCAGTTGAGTATGGACGAGCTTGTCTTCATCATCTCTGGAACTTGCATCAAAATTGGATGCTGCCTCCAAAGAAGTAGAGGCTGCTCGGTCAACCATAGAGGATCTCAAATGCCGTTTGGACCAGGCGCTGGAGGACAAAGAATTCTATCGACAAAAGTCAGCCACTTTAGAAATTCGAGAAATGACCAGTCACAAAAGGTAGCTAGGGCGACTATAATCCCTTCATCCTCAGTCATCGCTGGGTCTATCGCCAGTATGAAGATATCAAGATATTCGCATAACAGATAGAAGAAATCATCCCCATCGATCAAGCTGCGTGGGTGATATTACGTGCAAGGAGTTGAGTGAGGTAAAGCTTGGCTGATAGTTAGTGCATGAGTAGTGCCTGCGGTAGATCCTCGGAAGGAACATTCGTGCCAGGATGACCGAACAGTGATGTCCGTGTTTGCTCACCAGTGAAGACAATGTAAACTTCTTCCAGCGTAGATGAGCGAACCGGACTATAAGAAGCTCTTTGAACAAGAGCAGCGACGACGCGAAGAAGCAGAGCGTGCTCGAGAGGAGGCACGACAAGCGCAAATCGAGGAGCAACGACGACGCGAACAGGCAGAACAAGCACAACTCGAGGAACAACAGCGACGCGAAGATGAACAGCGTAGACGGGAGGAAGCTGAGTTGAGAATCCAAAGAACGACACTTCCTGAATTTCTCCATACCTGTCACCTCCATCTGTGTCTGGGATTCACGGTCCAGACTGATGCCTCACGTTCCACACAAGGCAATCCTGACAATGCCCAGCACAAACTCCGCCCACGCCATGTACGTCGTTGGCTAGACTTTGAGGAGCAACAGAACTGCATCTGGCCTACATTTCGAAGGTCAGGATTTTTTCAGACGCGTCGCTTCAAGACCATAAACACACTAGAAGAGCTAGGGCAGTCTGTGAGCCGAAGACTTTGTAGTTCGGAGTCAGATCTTACTGTCTTTCAGCGTCTGACAGTGGAGGATCCGGTCTCTGAGATCGTCGCTGCCATTGCGGATGATCACGAACTTCGATCTTCGTTGGGTCTCAAAGGCTCGGTGAGCTTCGAGAATCATGGAAACACCTTGAGCCCCGACAGTCAAATCAAACAGGCTGTTCAGGCCATAGACATCTCCGACGCGCAACGGCGGTCGGCCAGGCTTCAGTCACAGCACCATCCATCTCATTCAATCGTGCCCTCTGCTGACACTGACCCAGCCGCACTAAGATCATCCCGGCCTCGCGCCGACCAGTTTTGCGTCTATCACGTCGGCTCGGGGGAACAGTCGTACCGCCAGCCGGCATTGATCATTGAGTATAAAGCGCCACACAAGGTTTCACTAGCATGCATCTGCGCTGGCTTGCAAGAGATGGACTTGGATGATGTGGTGCAGGTGAAGGACACAGAAGGCGTGGAAGCGAAGCTGCAGCGGTTGGTGGCTGCCATTATCGTCCAAGCGTTTTCCTACATGATCCAGATCGGGGTCGAGTACGGTTGCGTCTGCACTGGCGAAGCCTATATCTATCTCCGAGTGCTTGACGATCCTGGCACCGTCTACTATCACCTCTCAGTACCCAAGCATGATATTGGTGTGGATACTGGCTGGACGCCAGCACTCGACCAGCCCAATCGCCTGCATATGACTGCTGTTGGACGCATGCTAGCGTTGACGCTGATGGCGATCCAGACGACACCGCGGAGCCAGAAGTGGAAGAGCGACGCGCGCACCTCGCTCGAGCCTTGGGAGGTCACGTACGAGGAGCTACTGGACCAGGTGCCAACCCCAGAACGCCTCACGTCGGACTACATCCCCCCATCATGCACGATTCAGCTCAGACATTCCCCGATTCAACTGCGGAAGAGGTCGCTACGCGCCGCGGGGTCCTGCAGTCCCCTACAGCCGCAAGAACGGAGCAGTAGTGACACCGAACCAGAGCCGGACACCCCTGTGCCTTCTACGCGACGGCCTGCATCATGCCGAGCGAAGCAAGAGAGAACCCCCAGGACACAGCGAATAACGCGACGCACTGGTGGCTCCGGCGAAGGCAAGAAGCGGCAATACTGCACCCCGAAATGTCTGCGAGGCCTCAACGTGCGAGGGCCTCTGGACCACGAATGTCCGAATGTCAAGGCACATGGAAGGCGGAATCACCGGATCGGCCGATCAGGCTTTCTTCGTCTCATGCACAAGCAGCTGTCGAGAGATCTGGATCATGACGTGGAGTGCGTACGTATTCATGGCTCTCGTGGCGTCTTGTTCCGAGTCTGCCTCACGTCTCATGGATACACCGTCGCCGCCAAGGGTACAACGGCTGGATTTGTGTCATATCTCAGACATGAGGCCGCTGTCTATGGTCGCCTGCGTTCGATCCAAGGGGAGCATGTGCCGGTGCACCTTGGGAACATCGATCTCACGCACCCTTATAACTATGACGGGATCGCCGAGCTGACGCACATGATGTTCATGAGCTTCGGTGGCGTGAAGATCTCGCGAGAGATCCTTGCAAGACACTCAGCCGAGATTCGCGCCCAGGTGGAACGAGCGACCTGTTCCATCCATCAGCACGGGGTGCTTCATCGCGACCTGGAGCTGCGAAACGTCCTGTGGTGCCCAGCCGAGCGACGAGTGGCCATCATTGACTTTGAGCGGGCGCGTATGCCGGAGGTCAGGTCGCCTCTCGGCGAAGTATCTCCAAACCGAAAGCGGAAGAGACAGACAGAGAAGCCACCGACGAGTAGGAACTCCGAGGCCACAGCGTTCATTCAAGAGAGGCTCCACGTACTCAAGGTTTTAGGCGCAACATGAAAGTCGCCATACCGTCTTGCCTCGGGTTAATAATCTTTACAGGAACTCAGATGCTGGCAAAGAATGGTGCTGTCGTTGAGGTCTAAGCCTGGACCATTCCCTACCACTCTTTCTCCACAACGGTCGCTCTATAGGGAATGTACACGTCCTGTCTGACCGCAGCAGTCTGTATCCTACTCGCATGAAGAGGCTAAGAATGGATACGTTTTTGCCTTTTGCGGGCATCAGCTGTATTATCTAGATCATCTGCCTTGCGCTTATTCTCCCTGCTATCATCTTCGTTGACATCCCCACTTAGCTCATCTTTTTCTTTCCTCAGTCTGGAGTTAATTGATGAGATTTGTGGCTCGTCAGTCGTCTTCAGCCTGTCCTGAATCATCTCATGCCCTCTAAGCACGGCCAGAATGTTCTCATCAGTCTCGTTGCATTTGTCTAGCATTAAGTCGATCTTTCCCGACAAAACCAACACGGCACTCGCCAGTCGCTCCAGTGCGCCTGCGCGTGTAAGCTATGAGCTTTCGGTTTGTAGGTACACGTACCTATGAGAGCTCCGTTGTCAGGATGAGCGGCATCGATTCTGGCGAAAGTCCCTACATCAGGACCAGCATCTGTAGCTTCTCCAATACCTCTCTTTGTATAATTACAGTATCGTCCGTCGTTTCCTGATCTCTCAGCGTTGCTGCAAGACTTTTCATTACCATCAACGTTTCTGGATGTTCCTCACCAAGCTTGCTTCTCATCTTATTTAACGCCTCGCTCTTCATCGCCGCTGCTTCATCCATCTTTCCCTGGTCATTCAGGGTGCCTGCAAGGTTGCTCATTGCTATTAGCGTGGAGGGGTGTTCTTGGCCAAGAACCGCTTTCATCTGCCCATACGTAAATGCCTCAAACATGAATGTTTCAGATAGTTGACCCGTTCCATCGGCGAAATGACCCAGTTTCTCTACCCATCCGATGGCAGCCAAGGTCGCTGAGGCGTGGAACATGTGCTCGTGTCGTGTCGTTGCAGTGAAGTTCGCAACCGCATGCGCCAGTAGGCGCAGCTTCGCTTGGGGTGTCTGGTCGCACAGTTGTATAGCGTTGTACACTAACTGCAGCGAGCTTATCCCGTATTCCTGCTGCTCTGCCGCATCCAGTTGCTCCCATTCCCACGCGCGCACCAGCTTGTGCATCGCATAGCAACCTTGATCTTGCTTCCATCGCACAAGTTGCCTGCTTCTTTGAGCAGTTTGCACTTTACAAGGGGAAAGTGAAGATAGGTGTAATTGTGCCAAAAGATTCCGCTTCTTTAGAAAGCATCGAGCCGGAAGCGATAGAAGCGGATCATACTGCAATGTGCCGATTCAAAGACAAGGATCAGGGGGGCTTCAAGAAACTTTCACACAAAATCCAGCAATGGACTAAGGACCTGGATGTCCGTAGTAGTAAGTTTTTAGGAGAAAACGAGGTGCGTCTGACATTCTACCACTAAAGTCATAACTAATGTTACGAAGAACTTTAGAGTTCACCTAGGCAATGTGGTGTTCCGCGAAAGGATCGACAACAATTATGGGGCATGCCTATTCTACAACGAAGGATGGAGTTAATGTTACAGGAAGTATCACGACCGTAAGTACTTCTTAAGATCTACCGGCATTACGCTAAAGTACTCTCTAGAACAATTATCACGGGTATGCCCCTGAAAAGCCTAATTGAGTGACATTCTGTGGAAGACTCTTGTAATTTCGCGGGACCTTAGGCTTGAGCTTTAAGTGCCTTTTTTAATCCAAGCACGAAGCAGAATTTTCATGAACATATGAACAGCTGTGAGATCCTCGATATATGGTTAAATTTATTAGTGATAGGGGTTCTTCATCTGCCTAGGGTAGCCTATCCTTGTTCTTGTCTAGTTGTCCAAAAGGACGTCATGATCTGATTTAACGGGATTGGAGGTGGGTTTAGTCCATAACTCGTCAAAGTTAGACATCGACTTCCTTCTGTGCTCTTTGCGGGCCGTCCATATAGAAAATAAATTTAGTTTTAAAATTCAACCAAGCACGCCTAGGTAAGTTTTTTTGATTTTCACCATAGTTGTAACCAAAAAAATCGGTCCGCGGTAATAGTGACTTATGGCAACTTAAAAGCCGCCTCCTACGATTCTAGCTTCTGCTAGCCGCCTAGCATACTTGTACCCCTCTTCCTTACTTTTAATTCAATGTCTTGCGAATTATATACCCCCTCTGTGAACCTATCCTCAAATTCCGTGCTTAAATCGGTATCAATAGCGTGGATCCCAACGTTTGTGAAATATATTTCATCTCTGCTTTTGATGACCACTTTTCGAAGAGCGTTCTCGAAACCGAGCCACAGACTGTTCCATTAGTATATTAGATGCATGAGAAATGATTACGTACCTGAGATTGCCATACTACCAGCTTCTGCGTGTTCCTCGCCTATAATAGTTCTTGAAAAGTCTAGCTTCTCGTGCATGACGTAAAGCCCTCGACGTCCTTCCTGCACATCGCCCTCAGCTTCGTATGGTGCATATAAGCAGATGTTGAAAATATGTCTCTTCTCCTTTTCATCGAGATCTAAAAGCTCATTGAGATAGGTATCAACCAATTCTCTAACCTACGACGCGTTAACATTCGTTTTGCCTTCTGAATTTAAGTTTACCTTTGTCTTCTAGAAACCATATAAGAATGAGGCGTCTAATCCGAGCTGTCAACTGATTGTTGGCGTAAAGTAGACTTTTGATGGTTAGGAGATGTGCAGCGATTCCAATTCCTTGCGCAAAGAATATAACTTTATCGTAATGGCCGAGGTTATAAGGACTGCCATATGGCCCATCAAGAACAAGCGTTGATTGAGGCGTAGAGGTGATAAGGTCGTTACTGAATCCAGATTGTCGAGATACCAACAAGATTAGATCTTTGTTTGGTAGTTGCCAGGCTATCAGATACGGATGCGACTGTAGAAACCCAAAACGGTGACGTGCGATACCAGGCATCGAAATATAAACGTATTGGCCTGGAGCGACTTGCCATATCTTCTTGGGGCTAATGAAGACCTTAAATACCGCTGTTGAATTTCGAACATGGAGCATTGCGCCTCTAACGGAGCATCTGCGTGCAGTTTTCTCGACATCCTATCGAGCCTCGAACGGACGAGTCCAGGCTCGAGCACATCGCATTGCTGCCTTGCGTATATGAACCACCTTCCATCCGTCCTCAACGTCCAGCTACACCTCGTCGTAAGACTCATACTGCAAACCACCGAACTGGCCGAATGTATTGAACCTACTCGCTCTCTTTGACATGCGCACCCCGCGATGCGCCTCCTAACGCGCGACGAGAACGACCGCCTTATACTCGAGACGGTCGACAGCGACTCGCCCCCAGCGTACGCAATCCTCTCCCACACCTGGCACGAAGACAACAGGCAAGAGGTCAGCTTCCAGGATATGGCGAGAGGCGGAGCTGCAGGCAAGCTGGGTTATGTCAAGATACAGTTCTGCGCAAGGCAGGCGGCGGCCGATGGACTGCGGTACTTCTGGGTCGATACGTGCTGTATCGACAAGTCGAGCAACAGCGAGCTCACTGAGGCGATTAACTCGATGTTCCGCTGGTATCGGCAGGCCGCGCGGTGCTACGTCTACCTGTCAGATGTCTCTCGCGGGCTTCGCAGCGTCTGGGAGCCGGTCAAGGGCAGCCCTTGACTAATGATCCCGCACACACACGCGCTGCCTGAGAGCAATACAACGGTACGGTGACAGATGCAGACTTCGGCATATACAATCGGATACAATCCGAGGGCCTAGATTAGGATTGTATGATTAGTCACCCTAAAAGTACGGATTGAGCTTGGAATCTATGCTAAGGGATTGAGATTGCTTATGTTAAATTGAATCGCTTATACTATATAAGATTACCCAATTAGGAAGGACATAGGGAGACTAAGTTAGCTAAATTAACGAGCACGTGCTATTATTAGGTATATATTCGACTAATATAAGTATATATAGGGCCTTAAGTTACACGTCTCCGCGTAAATAACCTCCCTTAGGTTAGACGATCGTCGGATGAGCGGAATGAGCTTCATGTACAGAGGCACATTTCTCACTTCGTCTATTCCTCCTCTAACTTAATTCACAAGTCATGTCTAACACCTTGCTCTCTCCGATTTCTAGAGTCATCAAAATAAGAACGATGAGTGGAACTGAGATTAAATTGTTGAATAACTCCTCCGTCCAATGCAGATTCTACTTATTGCCGTCGAAGGGCTCGTGGATTCCATTACATAGGTAATAGCCTGTGCTAAATCGATAACTTGTCATTTTCTTCTTCTTACGGGTGTTCTCGTCTTTACTAACGCGGTGTCTAAATTTATTCCATTGCTTTGCGCTCAACATGTCCGACCGAAGGCTCTCCACAAACGCCACAATGTCTGCATCACCCATTTCCTGAATTTCGTCGTTGTCAAGCACAAGCCATGGCAGGTAGAGACTATTTCTACTTGGCACCAGGTGTGACCCGAAGTGTTGTAGATAGCGATTCTCCTTCCGAAACTGCTTAGAACACGGCGACCAGCCAGTACGTGTCTCCATAGGTATCTCGCAGACGTAGCTAGTACTCGGTCTCTGCCGTCGATGGTGTGTCTGTACTGTGACTGAATGAGATGCTGGCGGGTAATTGGCCAAGGGCATATTCCAATCCACATTGAATTGAACGCTTGTCGCTGGCTCACCGCTAATTTGACTTGTCCAATCGTTGCCCTAGGTCAATTGATGCGTCCGATACTGGGCTCTATGGATCTTCGGCTACTGACATATCTGGGTAGTAGGAGCCACAGACCTGGTTCGAAGTCCTAGAAGGCAACCCGGAATAATTGAGCTGCTGGGGTATGTAGATAGCATAGGGGTCATCTGAGAAGACTTCAAACTCTGTTTCTGCTCCTAGGGAAGTCGCTGACAATGGTTCGAGAGGCGTTTGCGACTGCATCTTGCTATCAAGGCGGACACTAGAAATTCAGTACCCTCCAGAATTCTGCCGGGCGTAAGTACAACTAAGAGTGCTTTAAACACTAAGTTTCGAAAAGACTGATGTCCGGAAGAGACAGTCTGAAAAGGCTCAGGCCCCACATGCCGACGCTGTGTGCCATTTCGCTGATGTATTGTAATAGGTATAAGTTGCTTGATGATGAGAGCTACAGGGCGCGCAGGAAGCCTCTCTGTAAGGCTCAGTAAGTAGGCAGCTAGTGAACCGACTTCTAGGCGAGTCTTCATTATTTTACGGCACTGTGACAAGGTCTACTAAGCTGGTCAGCACTGAGCCTTTCGACTATCTTTAATTTGCTGTCCAGGATTCTAGACTGCCAAGACTTTGGCGAGTAAACAATGGCGCCAGTGTGCACTATAACAGAAGAGCAAAACGACCGCGCTACACGAGCATCATGTCTCAAGCAAGCTCCCAAGATGGTAACAAGTATCTGATCAGCCACAGGGGCACCCTTTGCTTCTCTGACATGCTCTACTAGATTCTCCCATGAAACTCGCGTGTTTCGGTGGTACCTGTGCATGCTTCCCGTGTCAACCCCAGACCTCAAGACCGGCACCAGGGCTATCAGGTCTGCGAAGAGCTCTGTATTTGTCAGAATAGAGACCTATATACAAGGCAATGACAAAGTTGGCCGAGCAATCCTCGACCGTAGTGTATTATGTAAGCAAGCTGATAACTGTATATCGGCGGATAAGGCTTCAGGGTTGAATTGAGGCCTTGAAGCCTGAAATCATGTCTATAAAAACAGTCAACCTCTCAGTGAAAGGAGGGGGAGGAAATCAGATCAATCAAGGAACAATCTTCCCACAATCTCCAACAGTACTGCTATATTCAGGAGATGGCTCGGCCTGGAGCTGCTCATTATGAAGCTGCGAAGACAGCAGGTGTTCTACTTAGCACAACTGGTGTTTAGATAGGGATGGTATGGTGTTTCTTGGAGTGTATTTAGGAGTATATATTCATATATTAAGGCTACATACTCAACGAATAGTGCCTCAGATGGACATATGTATAGATTATTACCGGCTAGCTAAGCGATCGCCGACTCGCCGACGAGTGAATCACATAATGAGTTCATAGAAAAGTCTCCCAGTATCCTCAACTTCAGTAGCCTCTCTACCACCTCTACCCTGTCTGAACCTATCCAAATCAGCTACTACCCTCTACCGGAGCGTCTCATCAATGTAATTCCCATCTGCGGCATGTGTAACGAAGCGTAGAGCTCACTAGTCGGTGTGGCTATGTGTAAAGGTGATGTGGAGGAAGTCCTCAAAAGTTCGAGATTGGTGACGCGTCCAGATGTACCACCTACGAATCCATGCCTTTATTAAAGCTCAATAGAATTGAAGCCAGGTGAGTACGGTGGCGTATATCGTACAATATGGCCAGCGCTGAGTATTAGTGGCTCAATCTGTTAATTCGTATGAAGCGCGAGATTATCCATAATGATTGTCATCGCACGTCCGGGGTATTTTACCGCAAGGGCAGGCAGTAGGTATACCTCTACCCAGGTATAGAACTCTTCCGTCGAGAAATAAACTTCCTCGATCGAGAGTACCAAACTTAGTCGGAGTCTGTCTTTTTGGTGCTCTGGCTCGACGCCTCCACCCATCATCCAAGAACACGTAAGAGTCTGCTGGTAGCTCCGCTATGTCCTCAAGGTATGAAGGGGGCGCTGTCTCTGGGCGCGCACTACTAATACGTTTCAATAGCTTACGATCCCAGCTTCGCTCAGACAACTCTCTAGATAGAAGCTGTTAGGATACAGTGAGGTTGAACTCTTCGTATACCCATCTAGCCATCTCATCAAGGTATAACCAGCCCTCGCGAAGTAGTCTCTCAAGCAGTTGTCGGATCATACAACCGCTCAGTCGACGAGGTGGACCACCCGTCAGGAGCATTCAAACCAGCTGTTAGAATTGGCCGTAGGTTGCGAGCATTACTAGGTAGAGTTATTTTTTACTCTACAAGCTGTGCCTCCTCTAGTCTAAGCTGTTATATTCTTCGCCCAATAGTCTTTTTTACAAAAGAGTCCAGGTGCTTTCTAATGTACAATTTACAACGCCGTTGGAACTGGTTAGTACAGTAGAATCCCTTTCTCCATCGAGCAGCTGTTTGTATTATCCCTCCCGCCTAGAGCCTAGCCTAGTCCATATAGTTGACAGCCCATGTCCCGATTCAACATCAAGGGGCTGCTGGTGCAATCAGTGGAAGCCTGGTTCACCTCGGCGCTGTGCTTTTCCTAGGATGTGCAAGTATCGTGTCGGTCAGGAAGCAGCCTGAAGGAGAGCTTGCTCTGGTCGCTACCTCACTGCTTAATATGGCAACGTTTGTCCGTGTAGACCAGGCGGTCGCAGATCTTACTACCGATGGGGGAGCTGAGCGTGAGGGTACTACCAGCTATGTCCGTGGATTGGCTCCATAAACGATGAAGGAATGATGGAGCCTTTACGTGCCACAGACATACTGCACAGCACCTGGGACAGCCATCCAAAAACGCATGTCTTCGCCTCGCTTGAAGTGCTCCGAGATATGCGTAACACGGTGCTTCCATGAGTTCAGAAGATAACCACAAATACCGCACCAGTAACTGGGTTCGATCTGGGGCTTTGAAAATCGTGACAAGATATCCTCGTTCGGATTGAAAATCTTATGGCAATTTTCAATATGCTTAATGAATTTGTCTTTCCTGGTGAACGTACGTCTTGATTCTTCCTTCTTGATACATTGACACAGGTCGTGTGACTGTAGATGCAAAGACGTGGGGCTGTTCATTCCACCAAATACACACTGAGTCTTCTTCGCGATTGATGGAGATGTTGCAGCCTTTTCGGGCATGCAGATCCACTGCTGCAAGCGGAGATGTATAGTTTGCTCGTGTCGCTCCCAGTCATACCTGCGCTTGAAGTCCTGCACACAGAAAGTGCACTGGAAGATGTGATCGGGAGAAGACGGTGTCCGGAGTAGCGATGCTGTAAAATCAGGCTGAATGCGCTGTGATGTCATCAGTCTACGCTTCTTCGGTGGTCTGTAGTTCTGGATGGGGTCGAGATTCGAATGTGGAGAACACAAGTCGGAATATTTGCCAAGCTTTTTGACACTCTTGGTACCTGCAGATGCTTTCGCTTGTCCTCGACAGAGCTTCCTCGCACGAGCATTAGCGAAATATACTTGTACTTGACGGACACTTAGATCGGTGAGCGCAGCAAGCTCTTCACTCTCCTGCCTAGTAAGATATGGGTCTGCGAGCCGCTGCGTGAACCGTTGAGCAAGGATAGCCTGCGCTTTGTGCGGAAAGGTCTTGCAATCTTTCGCAATCTTACAAGACTGATTCTCCTTTGTCGTGTCTCCCACAGGCGTCTGCCTTATTAGATATGAAGAATATTGAGGCTTTGAAGGGTTGGCAGCGGAGTATTCTATTCTTTCGAGTGACTGCGGCGCGGTCGAATGGACAGTCTCGCATGAACCATCCGCTAGAGATATATGATATCCATACCAGTGGTCGTGACTCCAGCATGAAGCGCTCTGTTGCGAGCATGGTTGCGTGTTTGTCTCCATTGGCCTACATAAGTCCGTCATGGTTTAGTAGCATAATTTGCGTGTCGTCGTATCGTTACTAACTGGGCTTGGTCTGTACCTGTATTAGACTCGAGGAGAGGCTCCTGCGAGCCTGATAGCACATATATGCTGTCCCAGTATAGGCTTAATTATCTGCAATAAGTCAAGAGGCTTTGGCAGAGCCATGGCTGAACCAAGCGGTACTATAGGAAAAGAGTATTATCATTAGTACAGCCAAGGCGACTGACATGGTTTGGCTCAGATATAGATTACGAGATAGCTTAGCGGAATCTATGGCTCAGCATGGCTTAGCCGATTGGAGAGCGGCGATGACTTGGTGGATCTCATGGCTCAGTATCGTGGGTTTAACGGCTCAGTATCTAGACGGCTCCACTAACCCTGTAAATCCTGGAGCCTAGTATATCCTACTACGGTGTAGATACAATATAGCATAGTGGTGTTCTTTCATGGTTGATAGACGTCATGTCAACATTTCACTTCTCTGTTTCAGGTACGTGGTGGACGAGACTGGAGGCGGATTCATACTCTACTGACTACGTATCTAGATGAGCAGTTTGGCAGCTGATCTTGCCAGTGGCCCGAGAATCAACCCTCCAGTCCGTATACTGTCACCTACCGAAACTCGCAGCTTAATCTTTATGGCCGTTCTATTTGTTCATTGCCACATGTTATAGACGACATATGTACGGAGGGGCTGGGGATTGCTGTTGGCAGGCCGCACTACCGGTCTGGTGCGACTGTGCACAGGGCTGAATGCAGTCTTAAAGGACCATGTCGTCAGACTTTCTTGCGACACGATAATTATCTAGCACATTTCCGCACCCATCTCGTTCAAGATACACGGGGACTCATCTTCCCGCGACTGAACAATACCGAGCTCTACGCAGACCTGATAGCCCTGGTGCCGGTCTTAAGGTCTGGGGTTGACACGGGAAACATGCACAGGTACCACCGAAACACTCGAGTGTCATGGGAGAATCTAGTGGAGGGTGTCAAAGAAGCAAAGGGTGCCCTAGTGGCTACATGGAGCACTGTACTTTCTTACTAGCGGATGCTGTGATTGATGGAGGACAAGCACTGTATTGTTTACTGAGTCTTCTGTTATAGCGCACACTGGCGCCATTGTTTACTCGCCAAAGTCTTGGCCGTCTAGAATCTTGGATAGCAAATTAAAGAGTGCCGTAAAATAATGAAGACTCGCCTAGAAGTCGGTCCACTGGTTGCCTACTTACTGAGCCTCAAGCGTCAATATCCCAGAGAGGCGTCCTGCGCGCCCTGTAGCTCTCATTACTGCAGGGACCAAGAGAGGGCGTGTGGCATCAGGCATGATCCATCGATACTTCCCACTGTGTGCACTCATTTCTCCATTCCAGGGGCGCTCGAAGGATCACAGAACTCGCTACGGGTCGTCCACGGTAGGTGGGGAAATTCTCTAAAATGGCGTTAATGCTGAGCTTGCTGCATCTTCTTACAGCTGTCCTACGTCACGATAACTAGCTCCTTAGCCTGGTAGCTTAGCATGAACGCCAATATAACATGCGTGATTCCTTTGGAACGGATCAAATCCATCGAGGCATCTGGATGCCATCTGATGCCCGTTTAGTGTTGTGTGCCGCCTGAAGTTGCTCCAGGATATGCTTACTGGTCATGGTACATGACCAATCGAGGTGACCGAGCATCTTGCTGGGACATGCTTGTCGCGTTACACTTGAGAGAAGGGGTTTAGATACGGCGCACGAAGCTCAGTGGAAGAGGAGAACGTGGTTAAGGCGTACATTTAGACTGCGCGGTGCAGGATTCGGAATGTGGTGACACCCCATCATCTCTTGGGGGATAGACAGGGGCGCAATGTGTGAAGCGTCTCAAGCGCCCTTCCAAATTACGGCTATTTTTAGTACCAGGAATAAAAATGGGCCGGACCGCGACCACTGCAGTGTATTCATATCTGCTACCATTATGAGACTGTCGCGCCGCGCGAGGACAGATGAAACTGGATGGTGTGGATAAAAGTTCACACAAGGAGAGTGGCGTGGAATGTCAGGATCAATCACGCAAGGGTAGTAGATAGGAAAGCCTGCCTTATATAGATTCGTCTCGCCATACGCTTCGAGTAGTTGAATGTTAACAACGAGTTACTGACAAGCATGGCTTCTCCCACGGTCCATTTCTTACCTCAAATTGTCAGATCAATTTCTCGAGGGCCTACTGAGTACGAGATATCAATCATTACCTGTTATGAAGATCATCTTCTAACATGTATGCAATGCAAACCCAGGCGTCTTGTCTTCTGCCCTGGGGGCACAGCCCTGGCTCGCACGCTACTAAAGACCTTTGACACGGGGGATGGAGAACTTCTTTATCGTATAACTCCAAAGCTAGCATATCATGTCCGAGTCGAACTAGAGCCTAGGTGGATAGAGATCCGTAGACTTTTCGGTCTTCCCTTCGTGGGGCGACGAAAGAATCAGAGATGGGGCTATCGCTATGTACTTGCAGGGATGGACATTCGCAGTCTTCAGTTACCGAATGCGGGAATTGTTTAATGGCTTCCCTGACGCCGATACAGGCGGTCTCAGT